AAGGAAGTGTCATATTTTTGAGTTTTGAAGACTGTTATCTACAGAAGCCGTTGTTTTGACTGAAGATTGTGACACTGAAATGTTGTCATGTTGAAACATAATGATGAACTATTGAAACATAATAGTTAATTATATTATATCTATATTTAGATGAACAAAATAAGCTAGGTGGTATTTGTAACTTCACAGTGCACATCATAAGAATAACTGCCTGAATTATAAAGGTAGGGATTTCAAAATATATTTAATATGTATAGACATGAAAGCATCCTTAAGAACATCTTCCAGTCAGACAGTATATGCTCTGAAAACCAGTTCTGTGCTCCTGTTTCATTTATCAAAAAAAAATATTTTTCTGAAGTCTTCACAAGCAACATGTATTTTTGAGGTGAAAATCAGGCAACGCTGTAATAATGTAATTAATCTTCAGCTTTTTACGTAACAGTGTTCCAGAGACTTACTGTCTCTACAATACGCTAATTACAGAATAAGCAGTATCATAACCATTGGAAAAGATTCTCTTCATGTTTTAGTCTGCAGCCTTTTTTTTATGCTTCTTAGTAATGGAAAACTGCTGGAAAAATTTTGTCCTGAAATTAATTACATTTTCAGTAGAAATCATAATTCTGTCTGATTTAGTGTTGGTTGACATATATACTTTCATTGTGTATCTGTATCTTAGCTGCACTGCAGACAAACTGATCTGTTCTAGGCAGGGTGTGGTATAGAGGAGATGTAGGAATGGGCTGAAGTATCCTTTATATTTGCCTTTATATCTAGGGGAGTTGAAAATAGGCAAGAATGGAGAAATTTTGTATGGCAATGCACAGAATTTTGCAAGTTTAATGTGAGCCCTGCAGCAATCCGATGCATTTTAGTTGCTGGTAAGTTTGTTAAATTCTGTTTGAAAAATTGTTCATCTTAGAAGACAATCTTCTAATCACTATTATTTCCCCTGTGTCAACAGCAACCTTTTTAAAAGCATAATTTTGGCAACCTGGTTTTGCTGATAAAAATTTTTATAAGTAAAATCTTCAGGTTTAATTTATTTTCAGCTGCCAAGATGACTACGTAAATTGACTATCCTTAGAAATATGTTAAAAGTTCTGGATACAATCCTCTAAATTATGCAGTCAGTTCTTTAGAGGACTAAATTCTTAGAATGCAATATTGAGGAGAAAAGATCCATTATGTCAGTATGGATTTTTATATATAGAGAGATATATATGTACACACACACACTTAAATGTTTGCTTGAGGCCAGTCTGAATATGTGGAGAAAGAGGAGTTTTGAAGAGGTTGGGAAAGCTTATTTGAGAATTGTTAACTGTTGGGTCTTTTCAGGCAGATAGAATGCTCTCTAGCATAAAGTATATAAGATAGAGAGCATAACACGTAAAAATAGTGTTTTGTGCAACAGCTGTTATTTAGTGCAGTTTAATTCCCTCCTTCCTCCTCCAAAAGAGAAGTTGCACCTGAAACAAGTGTAAGCAAGATTTCTGGGAAAAAAAATCAGACTAAGCATGTAATCTGTTTTCTGCCGGTCTCTGATCATCTTCAGGTAGTAATAGCTTCAGTACTGTACATGAGGTGAGAATTTAAAAACAATTCCCTTTTGATTTTACAGTTCTTCTATCAGTTAAAATATTACAGATCTTTTAGTTACTTCATTTCCTGCATAATGATGTGGACAAACAGTTAGTTACATGTAATTATGGTGCTAATTTTCATCAGTACTGTGGTCCTATACAGTGTTCACCACAAACTTCATTGTGCCTCTCTGTGATTGCCAGGTGGTTCTCCTTAACTGCTGCTTTTTCTGGTACTTGGAATTTTTTTATGTGCTTGAAGGTGTAAAGTGTAATGATGCATTCATGTGTGCTATCCCAAGATTTGAATTACTGTATACTACAGACAAGTCTATTATTTATGGTGGCAATCTTGGGTAATGCAGAAGGATTAGAAGCTAGAGTTACTGCTTGCAGACCTGAGCTGACTCTGCAGAGCTGGCTTGTGGTGTTTTTATGTGTCTGGTTCGATAGATGTTAAAAGCCATTTTGGACTTAGCAAAAGGCATAGCTCATTCACAAAAGTATTGGCTGAATTAATACGTTTTCCTGCAACTAGAAGCATTGGCATCACTTTGCAGTGAGAGCTAAGGTAGCTCTTTGCAGAGCTGATGTGGGAATGCAGAATTAATCAGTTCAGTCACACCCCGCATAAAGATGGTTGATATCTAAAAAGTGAGATTTGGGCTCTATCTGCATCTGAATTAATAAACTTTGTTGATTCGGTCTTTCTTGCATAGACCCAGCTTGTACATTTCTGTGTCTGTGGCGTAGTTAAATATTAACTGGCCACTGATTATTTCTGAGTTGACTGGTGTGTTTTATGTGTACTTAAAAAGAAGAAAAGAGAGAAAAATCTTTATCGTTAGGGTGTCAGTGTGTCTTATAACTTGTATTCGGAGTCCTATCAGAATTTCAACAATTGTGTAGAGATTGTATTGATATGAGATAAGAATAACTCCAGCCGATGAGTTTACATCTAAGTTCATAGAATGGACAAATAAACTGCAGTACAAAGAAAAGGGCTTTTGATAAATCATTTATAGGAGTGGAAGTAGAACCTTTTAAACTTAAGTCTGGTGCCATGTTCATGGTACAGCAATCTTTTAAATCCATTTTAAGAATATTTTTTTGACTTTTCACTATAACATTAATAGTATTTATTATTATAATTTAGATCCTAATCCTGCAAAGATGTATGATGTTTCTTAACTTTATGCATAATGGGTTGTCCTCCTAAGTTTACTCATAAAGGATGATAGTAAGCACCATCTATACAGAATTTTCTTTGACCTATTCAATTTAAAAAAAAAAAAAGCAAACTAAATATAAATCTTCAACCCTTTACATAAGCTTCTTATGGATTGTCATTTAGTAAAAATGATGAGTATCTTATTTTAGATGACAAATACAATAGAAATGTTCAGTCGGGGTAAGAAAAAATTGATGTATATAACCTGGTTTGAAATTGATGTGACAGCTTGACAGGCTGTTTTGATAAAAGCTTTGGAGTACTGTAAATGGATATTGTCTGTGTTCTTTTACTGCTGACACTCTGTGGAGCATTCTGTATGTGATTTTAGACTGATTATTGTGACCATTTAACAATGAAGCAAGACAAGGCACTATTTCATGTTCACAGCATGTACTTTGCCTACACTGTGTACTTTTTGCATGGCAGCCTTGCTCGCCCAATAGAATAAATTTTGTTTTCCTCAGCACATTGATTATTTTTTGGTGCTGGCATGGATTAACCAATCTCAACATTTATTTCAAAGTAAAAGATTGTATTTGGAGAGCAAGTGAACCTTTAGCTGACTACATACTGTAAGTAAAGTTGAAATTTATGAAATGCAGGTTGAACATTTCCTTTAATTCACGTTTTCATAGCTGCAAAAGCCACAGTTTTCACCTTTGCCTGTGTCCACCAGCTGTGTGAAAACCTTCATGGTTGCAGATATTTGTCAGTACAGCTAGGAATTGGTACACTTATTTTATTTTTAGAAAAGGAATAATGACTTTATGTATGCATTGTATATGCAGTACAATGCATTCCATCATCTACCTTTTTTATATATTTGGAAAGTATCTTCAACAACATATTCAGCAACAGATTAGTGTATTTTTGTTTCTGTCTCACCACCCGAGTCAATTGTGATTTTTCTCCCATGGTGCATTGATCTGTCATGTTTCCGTTGTTGGTTTTCATAGCATAGTTTCACTTTCTTGCCAAGTCTGTCCCCTGAAATCTTTCATATCTCTTCTGTTTCTAAACAGTAACCTTTTCTGAACACTTTTTTTCCCCTCCCTGTGCTTTCTGAACACCTCACTTACAGATACTGCTGGGATGGGCTGCTGGGTGATTTGCTTGTGGCCTCTGGAGTCTCTCTGTGCTTTCCTAACTGGATGAAAGTGATTCTCAGCCTTTATTTTGTCAGGCCTAGATATTATTCTCATGTTTGGTCTGGAGAAAGTATGAAGGAAGCTCTTCAGCCTGCTGTTGTTCCACTGTGGTTTGTGGTGGGCGTCGTTGCCCGCATGCATGTTCAGCCATTTTATGCCTCATTTCTGTGGTAGTAGTGACTCTAGGGACTAGAAGCGTGGAATGATGATATACCTAGTGGCTGCAAATTTTGCTGTTTAGCATAGTTAGTCTAGATGGTAAAATGGTTGACATGGCCCCTGCCTTCATCATTCTAGCACTGTCAGCTGGATCCCACTCATCATCTCCTGCCTCTTCCAACTGCAAAACCTTTGCCTAGAACTGCAAGTTGCAGGACTGGATATTTAAAACTTGGGATAGTTTTTCTTCTTAGATAAGATTAGATTATAAGATATATAAGATATATAAGATAAGATTAGATTAGATAAGACTAGATAAGATGTTTAGTGGGTTTTCCTGTTAGTTCCTTTTGTTAACTTAGTGTATAAAGAAATTTGTCAAAGTCTGCATGCCATAATACTGCATTGGAGCAGCTCTCAACTGTGATTTTATAGCATATGCTATGAAACTGAAGGACTCTCTTGAAATTTGAGGAAACCTTGAACCCAAATCCTTCAAATACCTGCTTATGGTTAAGAAACAAAAGCAAGTCTACCAGTAATGTGTGTTTACATACTTAGAAAGCCAATTTTAGTAAGACACATAGTTAACTGAAGAAGAGTTAAGGACTTCAGATCAGGTCAAATCAGGAGAGCTGACAAAATGATTTTGCACTTCTATTTGAATATGAACTCCTACTCCTACTGTTGTAATATGTGAACAATCATTGGAGAAATTTGTCAGAAAAAGTAAGATTTCTATTATTTCAAGGAATTGTTCACCACTTTAAGCCTGTTTCTGTTCACTTAATAGCTGGTGAATATTGAGAATGTAACAGATTGATTTTCCTACATTGGTAATCTGAAAAAATGCTTATTCTTTACATGCAGTGCTACCCTGTTGGCTTTCTTGGTTGAGCTTCTTAAGAGTTCAGTAGCCATGCAAGAACAAATGCTTGGTGGAAAAGGCTTTCTAGTCATTGGCTACCTCCTTGAAAAGGTATGTTTGGAGGGTTTTTTTAATCTTTGTTCTTAGTATTTCTACTGTCATTGTGGTATTTTCAATCACTTAGCTCAAAGGACTGGTGGAATAAAATATATTTGTGGTATGAGATGTTTTTGATCTGTAATACTTGTAAGTTCTCTACAGGAGTCTTTTCATCTTCCTTATACTCTTATATGACAATATTCAAAGAACCAATTTTCTGGAGTTGATCCTGTTTGTCTAATTTATAATTTTACTTTAGATCTGTTTGTGAATCACTTTAGTGTATTTTCATTTGTGTTTCTCCACTCTCTGTCCCCCTAACTCTCATTTAGGAAAGTTCTCTTGTTCCCAGTTTGTACAAGTGTATCACAGACATATCATAATTTAGGTTTTAATTTCTTTTTTTTCTGTATGTTAATAAAAATTAAGTTAATCCTCTGTGTCTCAGTTTTGAAATTGTTGAAATAGTTGCTCTGTGCTTTGAAGAAGAAAAACTAAAATAATTTCATGTCTGAGAGAAACAGTTGCAAGGGGCATGCCCTTTACTTGCTTGTTTTCAGACATGATGAGCAGTTATCACAAAACTGAGGTTCAGTTCAGATGCTTGCCTGAGGAATGTTACCTGCCTGCTGGCCCAAAGCCCTCATGTTACTGTGGTTTAATAATCTGAAAACAAACTACTGTACTAAGATAGTAATACTCTTACAGTTGAATCTCATGGCTCTGACATTCTTGAATGTCTGCTACTGTATTTTTCATTAGCATGAGCTCAGTATAACAATCATTTGAGAAGAAGTTATGACCAGAGCTTTGTTGTCCCATAATGAAGTTAAATAACAATAATCTTACCTTTAAAAATGTACTGAATTTTGAAGAAGAATGAAAAAAAATTTCTCTCATTCTGCTCCCTATGTTATTTTCAGATAGGGAAATACATTGTTATAGTAGAAAGATTTTACTTTCACTGAAGTAATACCTAAAAGTAGATTCTTTTCTATGCTTTTGTTTTCTGTACTAAGCAAGTGTGATTTAGAATGTCGAAGGACTAGTCTAAGGTGGTTTTTTTCCCAATGGTAGGTTTTCTTGTGATGTAACCAGAATGAATTTACAAAGCTGTTAGCTCCAGTTCTGTAAGTTATATACAGGCAGGCTAGTGAGCCCTCATGGAGTCCTTTTCTCCTGAATAGACCACTATGGTTTACGCACATTGAATACATTAATTTAGAATGTTGTACATGAAATTAAAAAAAAAAAATTTGCATACTATTCTAATTAACACCTGCTACAATCAATAAACTCAGGGTATGTGAATATTTAAAGAATTTTGATTGATTTCTGTCACAACATAATTTTAACAGCATATGCCATTTTCTGGGTTTTTTTATACTATATTCTCCTTAGCTGTAGTTTTTCAAAAGGATGTGTTTTATTTTTTCAGTATATGCTTATATTCAGTTGGCACACATGGCAGGAAAAGATCCTTTTGTTTCCTAGCCAGGCTCAATTTTCTTATTTGTAAATTATCTGTTGTTCATTTGCATGTGATCAAATACTTCAGAGAGGACACAAAGCTTTTTTTTTTCTGACTTGAACTTCAGAATAACATTTTTGTTCTTATTAGTTGCAGACTATTTATTGTGAATTGTGATGTACAAGCCAAAGGAAACTCAGCATCCAGGCTGAACTTGTATTACTGACAAATGGACTTCACTTCTAAAAATAACAAATCTCCATGTTCCCAGACTGTACTTACAGCATTAAAAGTAATTGAAACATTTTTTAGTGAAGGCAAGGAGAAAGATGTTTAGTGGGTTTTCCTGTTAGTTCCTTATGTTAACTTAGTGTATAAAGAAATTTGTCAAAGTCTGCATGCCATAATACTGCATTGGAGCAGCTCTCAACTGTGATTTTATAGCATATGCTATGAAACTGAAGGACTCTCTTGAAATTTGAGGAAACCTTGAACCCAAATCCTTCAAATACCTGCTTATGGTTAAGAAACAAAAGCAAGTCTACCAGTAATGTGTGTTTACATACTTAGAAAGCCAATTTTAGTAAGACACATAGTTAACTGAAGAAGAGTTAAGGACTTCAGATGAAGTTCTCAAGGCACTGTGCTGTAAAATGTAGAATCCCGACAAAAACAAAACAAAACAAAACAAAAAAAAAGATTTAACCTCAGTTGTTGATGAATATTCTTAACCTGTGTAATACAAGTTGCTGATATTTTTTCTTACTTTCCTTTCATATTCAATGACATAAAAACATTCAAGGTTGCATGTATTTAGCAAAGATGAGTCTGGTGAAAATATCACTTCATATTTCTGATGTAAGTATATTAAGGAAGAAGGTTTTTCTTTCTTTGTTCTTTCTGATTATTTTTCCCTAGTCATCTAGAGTTCATATAACCAGAGCAGTTCTGGAACAATTTTTGTCATTTGCAAAATATTTGGATGGATTGTCTCATGGAGCACCTCTACTGAAGCAATTATGTGATCACATCCTTTTTAATCCTGCTATCTGGATACATACCCCTGCAAAGGTAATTGTACACTTGAATGACGTTATCACTCTCCTACAAGTATTCTTTTATATCATGGTACTTAGGGTTTTAATTTTTTAGTTTTAAAACATGGCAATAACAAAGATTTTTTAGATCATGAAGTCTACACCCTGCTTAACTATATTCTCCAATGTCTTCTATAAGTTTCTAAAAGCAGCTACATTCTTACCTAATGTTCTGGCTGGTTCTATCAAAGACTGTTTCTAGAACCCCAGTCCCTTTTTCAGTGGCTGTGTTACATTGTTTTCCAAAAGATTAAGCATAAACATATGTCTTTTTAATTGTAAGCAAAAGGTAAGATACCTCTTTTACACATTCACATAAACTTTCATTTTAATTTAAATTATGTATTTTGGTTTCATAAAAACTATAAAAAGTTATTGTTCATCTCTGGTGATAATGAATTAGTTGTTTTCCTAAATAACCACCATTGAGGAATGTGGACCAAAGTGAAAAGTGGCATGGTCCTAACATCTGGTAATATATACTTTTAGTGTAAAAAGCCAAAATAGAAAACAAACCAGTACATTTATCATAACATAAATCATAGAATCATAGAAAATTTAGATGGGAAGGGACCTCTAGAGATCATTCCAGGTGTCAGTCCAGTCCCTGCCCTAAGTAAAGTTGTTAGTAATTATTTTTTAGTTTTTTTTTATGATATCCAAAGTAAATCCTAAAAAAACTACAAATTAAGGTTATTAATATATAGCTTACATTTATGTGGATAACTATTTCATTCTTCAGGTGCAGTTGTCTTTGTATACCTACTTGTCAGCTGAATTCATTGGAACTGCTACAATCTATAACACTATACGCAGAGTAGGAACGGTACTGCAGTTAATGCACACACTGAAATACTACTACTGGGTGGTTAATCCTGCCGATAGCAGTGGCATTACTCCTAAAGGATTAGGTAAGTACAACACATAAGAAAGAAAATATAAGCAGTTCTTGTATAGGAAGATTTATGATGTAAATGTGTGAAAGCTCCTTGGATTGGTAGACGAGGAGGTAAGTAAATGGCAATGATCGGTACCAGGGATCAACAGTAGAAGGACTACGCAAGTACTTTTGGTGTATCATACACCTCTGATGATAATTCCTTATGTTCGTATGTATTCCCAGAAGATTCCAGCTCTGGTCTTCACTCCCATGGCATGTACTTGTGTGGCCATTCTTTAGAAAAAATATTAAAATCACTGATTTTTATTCTTCTGTACCAGAGAGGAAATGTTAAATGTATCTCGTATGCCAAAGAAAGCTTTGTGGCGTTTGAATGATTAGTAGTGTTAAGTGACCTTGAAAACAGAGTGGAAGCATCTAGTTCTCACCTCTGAGATCTCTGAAGCTGTATTTCCAGTTTAATAATATTTTTTCTCTGCGCTTATAAAATAGAGATTGATTTAACTTTGCTTATAGTCATGCACTTAGCTTAGCTCAGGAAGCTAAGCTTCCTGAATGACAGCAACAACAAAATACAATAATACATACAGGCTAAACTCTGCATGTAACAGATGTCTGTTAACCAGAGCATCAAATCATTCTAATCCTATACACTCTAGTTGTAATGTCATTACATTTAGCTGACTACTTGCATAAAGCAGGGAGGATTTGGCTGAAAGTCTCTTAAAAATGAATTGATATAGGAGAACTTATTAATTGTCTTTATTCTGTAACTATTACTGTCATGCTGAGAAACTGAATAATTGGGGGATGTATTAGTGCTGTCACATATCCAAATATTTAAGAATGTGATATATATATAACATATAAGTTATTGGATAATTCTTCATTTGTGAGCGAGCTGTATGCATAGTATTTTTCTTCAATATTTTTTTAATAAATAAAAATGGAACAAACAATTCTTATCAAAGATTAGGTATCCTAATAAGCAGTGAAGTTGTAACTTGTTGAGGCTCACAGAAAGAGCTGCTGTTGGAGCTGGGACCTCATTTATAGTTCTCTCATCGTATAATATTAAATTAATGATATTCTTCATAAAATTATTAAAATTTGTTAAAAATACCTAACAAAAGCGCACTGTGTTTCTGTTCTTTGTTCATTTGAATGAGAAGTTTGTAATATCAGATTATGAAAATTAACTGTGGTGGTTACTTAATTAGCATGAATTTTTTTGTCAGCGATAAAATATATTTTCCACTTACACTGATTCTGGATTCCTTCTGCCAAAATTGAATTAAGTTCATTTTTGTTACCTACAGTGAAAGTGTCTCCACCTGAGCTAGATGTCTGCTGATTATAGACAGTGGAATGCAGGAGTCCTGTGCATCCTGCGTCAAATCTGCTTGTTCTGTGTAGATATTTTGGATACCTTATGGCATGTCAAATCACGCTAATAAGTAGGTTTGGGAAGCTGTGTCCTACCCCTAGTTGACAGAGCCTTGAGAACTATTTAGTTTGAAAGATAGCTGCTTTCTAGACTCCATTAGCTACATTGATTAGATCCCCATTGACCTCAGTGGAAGGTTGGAAGCTGGTCTCATGTGTTGGCAGCTACAGTGTAGATGTCTGAAATTAGGGTGAGCTGAATCCTACCCTGGGACTGACTTTATCCAGCCGCATGCTTTCAGAGCTCTGCTCTGTTGAGGGTTACACTGTCGTGCTGCATAGGTGTGGTTTTACCATCAGACAAGCTAACCATACCTGAGCTCAGTGAGCAATTAGGATGTTAAAAAAGCTGATCAGCTTATAATATGTCCATTGTATTTGTGACTGTTGAATGACCAGCTGTTGGGAGGTGAAGTTTCCAAGTGGTCACCCATATTTGCACCTAGAGACCTGGAAAATTGCTCAATGGGTTTGAAACTGTAAGTTTGATAATATTATCTACTTGTTATGGCTGTAATTCTTTTTGGGGTTGGGGGTTTTTGAGGGGTTTTTTGGTTTTGGTTTGGTTTTTTTTTTTTAAAATTAAAGAATTCCTGTACTTCTGTGTCATGATACTAGTACCTAACACCACTTTGAAAATGTATTGCATATTACAGACTACCCTCTGGCTAGGCTTGCTCTTTTGTGGAAACTGTGTGGCATTTCTTTCTGTAGGAGGTATGGCTTGTTTTTTATCTTGCCTAGATCTGCCTCTCTGCAGTCAGCTGTATTTTTGGAGTGTTTGTATGTGTAATGCCAGTTGAATAGCTAGAAAAAAATATATAACGTATTCATCAAAATCTGAACAGAAGGCAAGGGGTACACAAGGGCACAAAATTAGGAATGAGAAATGAATCAGTTAACTCTGAATTAGCATACATATGGCTGTTTTACTTCCCTATCTTTTATTTCATTCTTACCTATTTTAAGGGTATAGTACATTCTTTTCTCATTTGTGTCAATTCCAGACAATATTCTGGTTTTCTCAGGAAGGCAATGAGGTAGGTCCCTGAGAGGTAATCAGATAGTGAAAATTACTTGTCGTTTGGTGTAGCAGTATGACAACAAAAATGGCAATTACTAAGGCCTTCATACAGTAGTTGGGAAGGCATTTGATAAACTGTGAGGCCATGCACAATTTCAAAATACGTATTATTACCCACTATATCTGAATTTTCTCCTTTTTTTGCTTTAGTTATTTTTCTAGATAAACTTGAGTTTTTGAAAGGTTCGTCTCAACTTTCTTCCTTGTTCCTTATCCTCTTCCTTCCTCCCTGTTGCTTAGACTGCAGAAGGTCCCATGTAATTGATACAACTATAAGAAACTATTTTGTAGTTCTCTCTTTCCTTTCTGTAAAAATAGGTTTCCTTGTGTTGAGTTGGAAAATGTTGGCTTATCAGGGAGGAAGACCAGTGACATAGCAATGGATGTGCAAATCAGCATAGCTATGGAATTTTCTCCATGCAAATCAGGACTAAGACTTTTTTTGCTATTATTTCACAGGTAGCCTCTGCTTCTGACTAATACAACTGTAATAACTGTGGTGATTTGCAAGCAAATGACTGTGGAAATACAATAATTGCTGAGATGATGGGTTGCTAAATTTAATTTCATATTAACTTAATTTCATATTAGTTTTTTATCAAATTCACATTAGTTACTTTCAGTTGTGTCCTGGTTTCAGCTGGGATAGAGTTAGTTTTCGTCCTACTAGCTGGCATAGTGCTGTGTTTTGGATTTAGTATGACAATAATGCTGATAAGACATTGATATTTAAGTTGTTACTAAGTAGTGCTTGCACTAAGTCAAGGCTTTTTTCAGCTTCCCATGCTCTGCCAGGTGCATAAGCAGCTGGGAGGAAGCATAGGCAGGAGAGCTGACCCCAACTGGCCAAAGGGCTGTTCCATACCATATGATGCCATGCTCAGTATAGAAACTGGGGGGAGTTGGCTGGGGGGCAGCGATCGCTGCTCGGGAACTGGCTGGGGGTCAGTTGGCGGGAGGTGAGCAGTTGCATCACTTGTTTTTCCTGGGTTTTGTTTCTCTCTCTCTCGTTCTTCTCCTTTTTGTTACAAATTGTATTAGTATTTTTATTACCATCAGTATTATTATTATTGTTATTATATTTCAATTATTAAACTGTTCTTGCCTCAACCCACAAGTTTTCTTACTTTTGCCCTTACGATTCTCTCCCCCATCCCACGGCGGGAGAGAATGAGTGAGCGGTTGTGTGGTGCTTGGTTGCCGACTGGAGCTAAACCACAACAAATTGGTAAAATTCGTGAACACTTTTCAAAATGTTTAATCACCTGGCTATTACATAGCTTTTTTTCACCAGGTGCTCTTTGTGTGCAATTAGGTGCAATCTGCCAATGTGAAATGCAGGTCTGGCTGATGCAGGCTTATAGTCTTAGAATACTAGAAGTAGCTGTAGTTAATATGCTTAATGCTTTTTTCTTTCAACCTCTGTTTTCAGCAACTCATAACTTCACCAATCCTAATATTTAAAGAAGTTAACTTTTCCAGGATTTTGTTTTTGTGTTGATTTTTATTAGCCTGCATACAGCCTCTACTGCCACACGTAGCTGGCAAGTTTATCATTTGTTAAAATGTAGAATAATGTGTAAAAAGAAGTTTGTAAACATAAGAAACTTACGCTGTAAAAATACAGTTACGTGAATGTTAGAGTTGCTGCCTTTTAAGTAGCATTTGATATTTCAAAATGAAAGAACAGGACCTATTGTCAATGAGCAGTAATTTTACTGTAATAAACAGAAAAATATCATACTGCAAGAAAACGGCATATTCTGTTATCAGAGGCAACTGAAACTCTAAGCTAGCTTGACATCAGACTTTCAGATCTGAAGATTTTAGTGGAAATCTTGCCAATATCTGATATTTGACTGAATGTGTTATAGTCTCTTCAAATAATTTGCTGTCATATTAGAAAGTAAGCTTATTCATGCAGACATTTTAGTGGTGTGATGCTTCCTTGTCTTCTAGGCATATCATTTTTTATGCAGAGATACTGAAACACTTGTTAATATTAGTAGTTTGATTTACTATTACTTGCAGACAATTACTCTGCTTCAAGGTTTTATTGCCTTCCCCTATCTTAATAAAGCACAAAGTGCGTGAGTTTTCTGTACTGACAGTTCAGTATACCTTGTTTAAAGCCAAAGTAGCTCAATATTGAAGCTTCCTATTTGACTAACACTGTTTTCTTAAAAAATGAAATTTTCCCCCTTGCTTTTCCTGGTATTCAGCTTAGAAAACAGGAGGTGTAAATGTTTTGAATTATTTAAAAGGTTCAAATGTTTATTTCAAATTTAGTTTTGTATCTTCTCTTTCATTATTGCTTTCCTGTTTCGAACTGGTGTTTCTTCTTGGATTCAGTGTACTAAATTAGTCTTCTTTTGTTTCCTTCTGAAGTATTAGAAACACTTTTTCAAAATGTATACTTACCAGATTGCTTGATAATTATTCTTAGTAGGTTTTACATTTTAGACCTATATCTACATAGT